ATGGGAACCTAAGAAACATGGGTGGTGCTCTTCAGAAAAACAAAAACACGAGTGGCTCCAATACTAATGAAGGTGATGGCTCTCATATCACTGAAAATGTGGAAGTGGAAGTGGTTCCAAGACTAGAGCAGGCTGATGATGTTGATTATCTTGGCATTGTTTCTTTTGCTTTATAATCAGCTCCAGGTGTCCGAGAACTCTTTGCAGGACACACCTTGCACCAAATGGAAGATTACCAAAGGAGTGTACTAACATCATCAAGAATTCGCAAGGCCCACATGCCCAAGCTATTGGAGGTTGAACTTGACCTAATATGTTCTGAAGGATTACAATATGCAAGAAACATATGAATGACCTTTGTCTTATTGCACTTTGTAAACATTATCATCAACTCTTTGTCAATTTTCATTTCTGGAAAGGTTTTGGTAACATCATCATAGTATTGAAGATGGGCAACTTCCAAGTAACTAGATGGAACTGCTCTACGATCGATTCAACTAAGTCATTATAATTTGTCAACTCTGAATCTACTACTTTTTCAGCACAGAAACATCTCATGTCCTTTCTAGCCTTCTTACGATTGCTCAAAAGCTTTATTTTCAACGAATAACTTGTATTTTGATCCATCCTATGATCAAAAGTAATCACAAAATCCATGAGAAAAGTTACTACATAGAAGAGGACGAGATGAGGGATGAACTCATCCGTCGTGAAGCCACTCAGGAAGAGATGTTGGGGAAGCTGGCACCTTTGTTGTATCCGCACCAGTACATGGCGTTGAGGGCCATGCCGGGGTGGCCGGTGCCCATCGACGTCGGGGAGGCCCATGCTGCCGCCTGTGCCGTGTGGCCCGCATGCGCAGGGGACGCGCGCGGACCTGCTGGCGCTTTGCACGCTTGGGCCGGGGAAGCGTGCGTCGCCGGCCCTACTATGCCTGCCCGTGCCGGGGAGGGGCTCGACACCGCCACGCTATGCTCTCCCGCACCGGGGAGTCACATGCGGCCTCAGGTGCCGTGTGCCCTGCTCGCGTCATGGAGCTGTGCACCGTCGCTGTCGCGTTGCCCGCTAGGGCCAGGGAGGGCTGCGCTGCCACCACCGGCTCATCCTCTTTGACCTCCATGCACGATCTAGGGTCCAGGTAGTGACAGAGAAGAGAACAGGGAGGATTGGAACCGGCCAATGTAAGGGCATTTGGTCCAAGTTACAAAAAACTAACAAGTCTACAGTGCAACCTTAAGATGGAAGGCTAACAGAAGTGACTTCAATGTTATTTTACGCACCAAAGATACGAGTAGTGTTAGATAGGGCATTCATAATTTTAGAGGGCTAAGAAAGGAATACTTCATCTTTTTGGTGTCAAATAAGGAATACTCTCAAAATAAAACGGTGACCTATTAACTCCTAGATGGTAATAAGTCTATCTTTGTCAAATCTATTTCTAGATGGATAGGACAGTCTATAGTTATATAGATGTACCATAGCAAATCCCATTTGTATATGGGTAATGACTTTGTTTCTGCCGTGCGTGGCGCGCACGCACGCTCCTCTTGCCGTTGATGGATCATCCAAGGCTCGGCGTGCATCTAGCGTTTCCAACCCAACCGCAGTGCCTGGCCAACTAGTCATTACCCCCACGGATAGAGCTCGCTTCCTCTCTCCTCCCGACAGCGACGCCTCAGGTAGAGCTCGCTTCATCTGCGCTCGCTTCGGCTCCGTCTCCGTCTCCGTCGAGAAGAATCCCCCACGGCGACCCGATGACTACGTCGATGACTGCAGTTTTCCACCAGACCCGGATCTAGGCGGAGCACAGGTCACCATGCTCACCGAAAAGTTGGATCCCATCCCGACGCTTCCACCTCACGGATTTGATTTGGATTTGTTCCCCATCTTACTCCAATCTCTTCTGATTCCATGGTTGATTTGGTTGATTTTGTTTCACTTGCAGGCTTCTCGGCGACGGCCACGTCGCGGTCGTTTCATCATCGCTGTGCAGCCCCCTATCGTGACGTGTTGCTCACCATCGCCATCGCGGTCGTCTCACCATCGCCGAGAAGCCTGCCCCAGCATCCACTGCGCCTCGTTGCTTGCTTGCCCCCCACCCCCTCCCCGACGTCGCCGCCTCCTCTGACTTTTGCCTCCCTCGGCGTCTCCTGTTGTAAGCACTCTCACCGTTGTTGCTTGCTTCTTTCCCTTCACAAAGAGATAGATAGATGGATCAGACTACTCCGTTCAAGCATTATGGTTATTCATTAGTAGCGTATCCAGGATTTTTTTTGGAGCCTTGGCACTCTGAATGAAAGTACAGACTATAATTCTTGCTTGTACAATGTTGACTTTACATGCTCACCAGTGTTTAATTTTAGTCTGAAGAATAGGCTCTCCTAAAGGAAAAAATTTTATAAGCATAAGCCATTACACTTGGTGATGAAACATGTACCCTGAAATATGTAACCTCAGACCTGAAAGCTGAATATCGACAGATAATATCATTTTTGTCGCATACACTAAATTCTAGGTGTAGTGTGGAGATAGCTGTGGCTAGGTCTGGTGGACATGCAGGTGCAGCGCACATCCTTATTGGCTTTGGCACAGACTAAGCTTCGAATACGTACTACCCATAAAGATGGAACTTGTTTTTTTTTGTCTTCAGTGGTCACAGTGCTAGCACCTGGTGCTTACTAATGTTGCCCTTCCCTGACCATTACTCCACATCTTGATGATTTCACAGAATCAAGTTGTTGCTCTTTCGACTCTTTTAGGGTGCATTATATGATAAATCTAGTCCATGTAATTACTGATAAACCTGAAAGGCTGCATGTGCATGATACTAGAAGTCCATCTCCTTTTGCCCAAACCAATGCTTTGTTTGCTCCGATCGCAAGTGGCCTGAGGCATTCAGCATTCAGCCTGGAGGCATTTCTTATCCACATGCACACCATAAGGCTGAGAATTCAGATATTGTTCTTTAGCAACTTACTTCCTTGTCATAATATACATGGACTGTGTGGCTCCCTTGTTCATAACCCAAGTTGTATTTGCCATTTTTTCTTGTTTTAATCTATGCATTTCATGATCTTGAAAATGCCCATTTGCTATCTCACATAGTTCCAAAAATATTCTGCGCTATGACATTGTTAATTAAGCCTTATTGTTGGCTATTTCTGCTCAATGTGCATCATTAGGTCTATTCTATTTAGGTTTTGAGATTATTCTTGTTTAATTAGAACTGAATACCTTGAATTTGTTTATTTTTAGCTTCTGCTTGGTCGAGGCACAAGCAAGGCACCCAGTCCATTTTTCTGCATCTAATTTGTGTATAAGCAGCTCTTGTCGGTGGAATTGCAAAATATCTCAGGTGCTTGTTGTTTCCTTTCTTTTTATTTCTTCTCCAGTAACCAATGCCATCCTGTTTCTTAACAGTGTTATCCTTTTAACTGATTGGTGTCAGATTGTCGCACGTACTATAACAGTTTACCTGTGATTGTTCAATCCACGTCTATTTAGCATCAGTGGCAATCAAAACCAGTAGTGTCGATTTATCACTAATTACATGAATATTACGAGGACTTTACTCACTGCAAGAAATTACATTAGATTTTAGTCTATGGTTTGTTGCCTGGCCACACTCTCTGGTTTCTTTTTATTTCGCAAGAACTGCAAAATAGTTTTATACCAAGAGGACAATGGCTATACATTATCTAATTTACTTTACCAATCATGCTTTATGTATGCACTTTTAGTTCTTGCGAATGTGCTACATATTAGATCAGCACAATGTTTCCTAAATCTTTCAATATATGCTTTATGGAATAGGCATGCAGTAGGAAGGCTCACTCTGTTCTAAGCGTCTTGGCTCCCTACAATCTGCTGTGCTGTTCAATCAGTGATCATCATGCTATTGCTAGTGTTTAGGAGTACCTATCATGCATGTATTTATTTTTGCTCCAGCTTTCACTTGTGCTCTCATCCTAGATGTAAATTAGAATCTTGCTGCTCCATAGTGCAGCGTTTCTACAGGAGCCAGGAGGTTTGGAACGGAGTGATGCGAGGGTGCTGATGTGTGTCTTATATTACAGTGAAAGTATTAAACTTCATGTATTGAACTGCTATTCATGTATTGAACTGTTTTTCTGAAATTATTGAACTGCTACAGTGAATTATTGAACTTTTTGTAATTAGTGAATCCTAACATGTATTAAACTTCACTTCATGTCTATCTTTTTTATTTTACCTATATTTATGGCAAATGAGCTGAACCCTTCAACCAACATTGTCTCTTAGGTGTTGCTTCTGTTTAAAGATGGCAACAGGGCCCCGATACCCAATACCCGACGGGTATTTGATCCATTAGGGGACGGGGATGGGATCATATCTTTACCCGCGGGCATCTAAATGGGCAAGAATCCATCCCCGACGGGTATAGCGGGTACGGAAACGTTCCCTATTTACCCGTCCCCGCTACCCGTTGGGAAACCCGACTATTTGAGCTGTCATGCGAGTATTAGGCCCAAAGAAGCTCAACATAGGTATTTTGGCCCAAATTTGAACAATCATATATATAGTTTGTGTGTTCTAGGAACCCTAGTTCAATTTTTCCTCACCATCTCCGCCAGCAGCACAAGCACGCCTGCCTCTTGAGCGCTCGTGCCCCTCGCTTCCTTAGTTCGGTCTCTCTGCCACCTTTGCTCGTCCTCCTTGCAACCTCGCTCCTTCTCCTTGGCATCTCCAAGACTCTGACACTTATACCCGGATGAAGAAGAAATGTCTCCGGTTGCAAAGCTGCGACCCCAAGTGTCCTTATTTATCGGGTATGCGGTACCCGTCGGGTATCTATTACCCGACCGATGCCCGACGGGTATGGGGATGGGCAAGAATCTATACCCGAGACAGTTAATGGGGACGGGAACGGGGACGGGATGAATTCTCCGTAGCGGGGAAGAGAACATTCCGGCGATACCCGACGGGTACATCCCCGTTGCCATCTTTACTTGTGTTAGGCAATGGGTAGAGGACAACAAAGCCAACCTGATGCTTCATCATCTTCAACGGTTCCTAAGGTATGTGCACCCAATACATTAGCTCTGTTTTTTGTATTCACCTGTTTTGTGCACTTAATTTTTAGTTGCCGCTATTTTCTAACCCTATTCTCAGCCTTGAAGATAGCGGGCTTCCCCATCAAAGCTCGTGAAGCTCTACAATGATTTGACTCAATCTCAGAAGAAAAGAATACGGACGATAGGTTTTGGTGGTCTCCTGAAGATTGCTTCTAAAACCCTTCCTGTAGGTTTTGCAGACTGGTTGATGGCTGAGTGCTATGATGCTGATTCATCAGAGCTGGTGTTTCTTGGCAGGGGAAGGATTTTAGTCAATGCTGATTCAGTGTGTCGTGCTTTTGGTCTTCCAAACAATGGTGATGAAGTTAAGTATGAGCTTGATGTTGGTCCGATCAACTTCATCAATGGTGAGTATGGTATTGATGAAGGGACAACACCTACTGTTGAATCTATATTGGAAAGGTTGAAGGAGAATAAGATAAGCAATGATGATTTCCTAAGGTCCTGGCTGATGATAGCAATTTCAACATTCCTATGTCCTCCAACTGGCTTAGCTATTAGCCCAAGGTGCTATCCAGCCATTGTGGATCTTTCTTGCGTCAAGAAGTTGAATTGGTGCTAGTTTGTTGTTGACCAGCTTAAAGACGCAGCAGCCAAAATGGGCAAAAGAAGATCTTTTAAGGGATGTCTTCTTGTCCTTGTGCTAAGTTACTTCGCGTCTTGTTCTATGCTGCAGTGTTTGGTGAGTGCTGCTGCTGCAGCAGCAGCCATAGCACCGCTGCAGCAAGCACTACCGATCTCAGTCATATATGTTTCTACTTCATTCTTTCTTCTTATGTTTTGATGCCCTCATTGATTTTTCGTCTTTGTAGATTCTATATGTAGACTCGCTTTTGGTTGACAATGTACAAATCCCTTCCACCATGCCTATAGTTGCAGCATGGTCAAGGAAATTGTTGGATCAAGTCATCAAGTTAGACACCAACTGTGATGGCTCATTTGGGAAGCTTAAGGTATGTATCAATAGGTTAATGTGGCTTCCCTTTTGTCGCTAAAGTCCATATTATAACTTTGCCTATACATGTTTATGTGTCCAGTTGAAAGGATCAAACTATTCTACTCCACAGCCTTCATTGTTCCACATGGATGATATAAGAAGATTTGTCTCCTCGAAGGTTCCCAGTGGCATTTCAGATCAGGTTTGTACATGGTCTCTTCTCTAATGATGTTCTCACGACTACTGATTTTTGTTAAATGTACTTGAATGTGTTTGTGTGAAAATTTATGTTGGCAGACCCGTTGTACATCTTATATGCTAAGACTCAAATGTTAATGTGCATTGCCTTTCCTATTTACTAAGTTCAAAGTTTAGCCCATTGCTTGATTGTTTTTTTAACAAAAAAATAAATAAATTACAAAATTTTGATTCATCCTATACTTCATCCTTTTTTTCTATGTAGTTTCTTCCGCGCCTACTTTTGACTTGTGTAGTAGTATGCTGATTCGTCCTTTTCCTAGAGTTCAGCTTAGCTTTTCATGAATCCCGTGATGGCCTTGCCTTTTCATGAATCATGTATTCTTAGCATCCCCATTTTAGCATCTTTGCATTTTGTTAGGCAATTATGTGTCATTCGTTAGGCAACAATGTCTTCCTAAATAGGCAATTTAGCCTATTCTTATCTTACTAGTCAAAAAGACCATCCCTTTTGTTGCTTATATGGGTGCTTAACTCTACTTGTCCCCCCCCATTCGTGGGCCTGCACAACACAAGCTTGTATGAGTCTTGTGGAGGCCCATTCCACTTGTTCACTTTCACTCCTTTTTTGGGTTTTGTCCAAAATTTGTGTGTGTGGTTTCATTCCATTACTTACACCTATTTTTTCCTTTTCTTTTGTCCTTTGTAGAAAAAAGTACGCTCAACACTGCTGTTAGCTAGTTCTGCTCTAGTTTCACAGAGCTTCTCGGCACATTTTTTGAAAAAGTTTCTAAAGTTGAAGCTCCTGCATCACAGCGTATGGGCAGTTCCAAGCGTCCAAGGGCAAATCATTCTAAAGGTGAACCTTCCTCTACACAGAGACACAACAGACCAAAGCGTTCCAAATTGGAACAAGTTGTACCTTCCTGTGCACAAAGACAGACCAGGGCAATGAGTAGAAGAGGACATGTTGCTGAAGATGAATCTTTGCGTGAAGAATCTGAAGAGGATTTGCTGAGTGATGAAAATGGAGATGGTGACACTGACCAAGATGAAGAGGATGAAGATTCTGATTTAGATCATGAGACTGCGTTTGATGATGATGGCAATGAAAATTTGTCCCCTGTACTGGAGGAGGAAGACGAAGGCATTGAAAAGCAAGATGAGGATGATACTGCTTCTTTGGAAGAACCTAAGTTGGATGCAACTAGAGTTGACAAGCAATGTAATATGCAGCCACCTGTAGATTCATCCACCCATGTTGAAGCTCAAGTTGATGACAGTGAAGATCTTGTCCCACTGAAGGTCCGTTTGGAAAGGTTGCAAGCTTTGAAAGTTAAAGATAAGAAGAAGGATACAACATCTTCTAGTGAACCTCAACAACTGGAGATTATTCCTCCAGAACCTACCATCAAGCCCAAATCCAATGCACAAAGAATGAAGGAAAAGCTTAGGCTCCCCCCAAGTGGTAACTTCACATCTTGACAATGGGATATGTTTCATCATCATACATGTTATTTCCTTTATTGCTTAGACTGATAACGAACCCAACACAGGTGACTCATGTTGTACCAGAAGCTGTCCTTTGGATTTTACACCCCTATATATCAACATCATGAAATTTGTAGATTCACAGGGTGGACCTAGCAACTATGTAGGTGCTACTTCAACAGCACCTAGTGAAGTTCAAACAACTTCCACAACAGCTGGTTCTCAATTCTCACTATCAAATATACTAGAAGAGAAACTTGCTAAGTTGGAAAATGATGCTCTTATTGAGTTTGAGAAGAAAATGGTGAAACCAGCAGTTGTGTTTCAGGCATCTGATCTGTACCTCCTCCATCCACATCTAAGGAGCCTACTAGTGGCAATTCTTTAGTTACACCTGCCTATGAGCCTCACCCAAGAAGGATTCAGAAAAGGCCAGCTGCTCTCCGCTCGCCTTATATTGACTTTGCTACAAAGAGGACTTTCCATTGTAGCAAGGATGTTTGTGATTTATATGCTGCTGTGTGTGCACATGGAAATGCAAGGTCTACTATATCTAAAAAAGCTCAAGAGTGCGTATGCCCATAACCATGTCTTCCTTCATTATTTTAAAAATGTTGATCATCATGTTATCAATGATTTATGCTCACTTTCTTGCTTCTTTTATGTGTGCAGCGTGGTCATAATTAGTTTTTGGAGCTTTTATGTGATGCTAGATCATCTTGCTCTATCTGTTAAGCCTGGTGGGAAGCTAATGAGCCCAGTTGCTGAAATTGCAATCTACACAATTGACGACACCAGTAGAAAGACTGTCAAATGTGTTCTACTTTTACGAGTCTTGGTTAGTTCATATTTTTCATCCATTATTCTTCTACTATAAATCTGTACCGAAGCAATTCTTCTTTTAGTATCAAGTAATTTTTCATGTCCTTATTACCAATTTTCTTAATTTGTTAAGGCAGTTTTGCTTCTTTTTTTTCGCACTTTCATCGAGGACATATTTAGAGGCCCATGTCCCTGCACTTTGGTAGCTCCCACTACTATAGCTAGGGCAAAATGTAGAGGCCCATGCCCCTACACTTGTTGCAGGCCTCCCACTGTTTAGTAGGAGCAGATCCACACCAAGCTATGACCATAGAAATACTACTACCACATGTAACCTTGGACTACAGTACTGCTCTGCTTGCTGAATGCAAATAGCCATTGCAAAGCCAAAACAGATGTGATAGATGAATGTAACCTCCTCACTTCTCATGATATTGCTCTCTAATTAATCTGTGACTATAGAACTACATCTACTGCCCTATAACACATGGCTCGTTTGATCAAATATTAACATTAGGTAGCTCTGTAATTAGGCCATGGGCTATCTGAACAATTACCATTTTTGTTTCTTGACTAGTGTACAAGTTTAGTGCCACTGTTTTATCATCACGAGCAGCATTGGCAGGAACCCACTAGTGCGGGCAGTTGACACATGGCCGTTTTGCCTCTCTTTCCATGGGCTGATCATGTATCAATGTTTGGCACTATGACATTGCTGTAGCATGTAGTTCTCTCCTAGCTGCTGTATGTTCACATGACGCATTCTCAGTTTGTTGTCCATGGGGAAAAATTAATTAGCAGGGTGACATTTGATTCCCCTGCTTTGTTATCCTTCATCCTGGTCAGTGTTTGTGGAATCTGTAGCTCTGGACTCAGGCACTTGGGAATTCAGGCAACGCTCCTGATAGCATTTGATTGGATTATTCTGCATTCTCAATAAAAAAAATCAAGTATGTTCTTCTGATGTGTTAGAAGGTCATGCATGATTAGTTCATATATATGGCCAGATGCTGGCCTCAGTCAGTTGTAGTTTCTTCTATTATTCTTGTACTGTAAATCTGTACAGAAGCGATTCTTCTTTTAGTATCAATTAATTTTTCAAATTTTTGTTAGCAATTTTCTTAATTTGTTAAGGCAGTTTTACTATTATTTTTTCATAGACTTTTATGCAGGAGGGCAACCTAACTACGACACAGGTCTCACGTGTATTTTGGCTTCCAGATAACCATTTAGACCATCGTCAAATGGTAAGTTCATATCTTCACATGTATTTAGGTTTCGTCATACATGATTTTTTCTTCCTCAGTGACATTCATTGATAATAACCAACCCAACATAGGTGAGGATCCCTGTGCTTCAGTCACTTGGAGATGGAAAATCTGCAACAAAAGTAGGACACTACTTTTTGCTTGTCCTGAACCTACGAAACCAAAGGTTTGAGGTGTTAGACTCAATGAGAACTCTGGAAGATGAAGTTGTCTTCAAGTGCTGCAACACCTTGATAGGGGCAATCAAAGAACTTTGGACCAAACATGGTTATGAGGCAAAGAAGCCCATATGCAATTATGAACTTGTTGATATTGGTGTTCCAATCCAGTCCAACAAGTAAGTAGTTTTTCTAGTCTAACTAATGTTACCTTTCTGCATACAGTCAGATTTGTTATCTGCACTGAGTTCTATATTGTTTGTTTTGTCTTTGCAGTCATGATTGTGGTTTCCATATGTTGATGCATGCTGAACATTGGGATGGACGTTCAATGCAATATTTCAAGGAGAGTGACATCCCTAATATACGCAAGCTTCTACTGTATAAGTGGCTAACTCACAAAGATAATGTTGTGCAGAATTGGAAAGACAGACTGCATTTATAAGAGGTAAAGCTTGTAAATAGTTTTGTAATGGTTTCCTATAATTAATGCCTATGCTGCAATGTTTCCAAAAAAAACTGTAAAGCCTAATATTACAACTCTAGACAACTATACCTAACTATATCTAGTACACGTGCTACTACTATAGCCACTACTAGCTACAGCTGGTTAGTACCAGGCTGAGATCAGGCACTACTTATTATGTGTGTGAGGCCAGTTATTAGTCAGTCAATTTATTAGTAGTCCGATAAGCAATTTAATATCATTAGCCAGGCAAGTTATTAGTATTCTGGTAGCAATTATAAGTGCCCAACACCAAAAATGTGCCTACAACCTCTATGAAACCAGAGCAGAACTGGCTAACAGCAGTGTTGAGCGTATTTTTTTCTACAAAGGACAAAAGAAGAGGAAAAAACAGGTGTAAGTAATGAAATGAAACCACGCACATAAATTTTGGACAAAACCCAAAAAAAGGAGTGAAAGTGAACAAGTGCAATGGACCTCCACAAGCTGGTGTTGTGCAGGCCCACGAATGGGGGGGGGACAAGTAGAGTTAAGCAACCATATAAGCAATAAAAGGTATGGCCTTTTTGACTAGTAAGATAAGAATAGGCTAAATTGCCTATTTAGGAAGACATTGTTGCCTAAATGACACTTAAATTGCCTAAGAAAATGCGAAGATGCTAAAATGGGGATGCTTAGAACATGGGATTCATGAAAAGGCAAGGCCATCATGGGATTCATGAAAAGCTAAGCTGAACTCTAGGAAAAAGGATGAATCAGCATACTACTACACAAGTCAAAAGTAGGCGCGGAAGAAACTACACAGAAAAAAAGGATGAAGTATAGGATGAATCAAAATTTTGTAATTTATTTATTTATTTTTTGTTTAAAAAAACAATCAAACAATGGGCTAAAATCTGAACTTAGTAAATAGGAAAGGCAATGCACATTAACATTTGAGTCTTAGCATATAAGATGTACAACCAACATAAATTTTCACACAAACACATTCAAGTACATTTCAGTAACACTATTTCTTAATTTAAACTGTTTCTTGATTTTGAACTTCTCTTCCGGGCTTGTCTAGACATCTCTGTGCATTGTGATCATATGATCTGCAAACGCTGCACCTATTCTTGCTCTTCGCTTGACCATCCATCCCCTTTTTGTGTGCCTTCTCCTTCCTGTGCCCTTTGGCTTTTGACATTGGGGGTTCCCTACATTTGATGAGCTTGGACCAGCCACTACACCTATAGGGTGAAATGCAATATCAGCAACTAAGTAATCAAGTACAGGTGTACTAGGATGAAGTAAAGCAGAACACAGGGTCTAGTTTTTAAACCTGCAGTTCACAGTGAAGGTCCAGTTGGAGTAGAGGCACCTAGACCAGTGTTCTGTAGCACCAGTGTAGCACTAGGGTCTTGTGCACCTTCTATAGCACCACCTTCTGTAGCACTAGTGTTCTGCCTATTCGCCATCTTCCTTTTCTAGATTTCTTCAAATTCAGATCGCATCTACTTGATGTGCTTCTCCAAAACAGCATAGTTTTCATCACTCGTACAATCCTTAACTACTAGTGCTGCAAATACGGTGCCGGTCAATGGCATCCCATGGGCTACAAGTTCCACTGGTGCCTGCACATTTTGGACCTGATTTGTATCACTCGTAATTGCTTGCTACGTCCACCTTTTAAGGATGTAACTTTCTGGTATCAATTTCACCCCCATCCTGACCATAACCCTCATAATGTGGCAGCAAATGATTCCATCCCTATCAAACTTGCTTCACTCACAGCAGTAGCTTTCCTCCTCTTCTATTGCTGTAACAAGGTAGTTCCTTTTTCCATACCCATAAACAAAGCTGTTATTGGGCTCCACCCAATATTGGAACTGCCCTACATGCTTCACATCATATTCTACAGTTTTCTCAAACTATTTGGAGAACAACCATTCATAGGTAGCTGCCTTCTTATTCCTTATAAAGGTACATCCTAGCTAAAAAGTTTGGCAGTGTCTGTTGATTCCCATGAATGGTGTACAAGGCATCTCATATATGTTGGTCACATAGGTTGCATCAAATGAGACACAGTCACTATATGCCTCTTTGTAAGCTCGTCTTGCAGCTAAATCAACCCAAAACAGGTTCTCAATCCTATGGTAGTCATCGAGCTTGATCTTGTAGAAGAAATCAGGGTCTTCTTCTTTCAAAGCTCTGAAGTAATCCAAAGTTTCCTGCATATCTTTGAATTTTTCCATCTTGTGGATGGTGGAGCGAAAGTTTGAAACCTGTTTTCCCTCGTATGGCACCAGCTGTGTAGAGCCATAGAACTCGCTCATCAACTACATGATTCTACTCGTGCTCAAGTTGCATCCGTGTAGCAAAACGATCAAATCCTTTTCCGGCTTCGGTATCCCTCTATGGGACCTTAGGTACTTCTTGAGCGAGGGCTTTACCACAAGATCGTGGTTGTGCTCGGCCAGAAAATAGATGACTTGCCACCTAGAGCCAATCATTTTGACCACCATCCTCGCCTTGCAGTTTGTATATAGCATTTTCTCCCTCTTCCTTTTCTTACATCCATCAAGCTTCTTCCTCTTCTCCCCTTGATCATCCTCTTCCTCTTGTGTGCTATCCTCCTCTTTGACTTCATCATTGTCAGAGTAGCAAGTGATAGCATCAACAAGCTGAGCAGCAACTCTCCTTTTCTCTTGTGATTGCGGACCGGCGTGATGTGTTTGTGGACAATTGAGAAGCCAGTTCTCTTTGCATAAGAGTTGTAGTACTCTTTTGCTTCGTCTAAGGATGCAAAAGATAGCCCATTGTGTGGCATTTGAGTAGACCACACCTCTTCTTCCTCTTCTGCTACTTCATTTCCGGCACCATTCAATTCATTATCAGCAACTACAGGATTAGCAGTAGAACCTTCATTCCTATCCTCAATCCTTGCCTGTTCAAATGACAATATGATCTCAGAAATGGTAGGAATAACCTCTTCTGAAACTGTAGGAACCGCCTCTGCTAAACCAGCATGACCAACTTCAGAAAAACTAGGCAAAATCTGTTGGTTCACATGCTCATCATTAGGCTGAGGAATTTTAGGAATTGCAGGCACTTGTGTGCAGAAGGTAGGGTTGCTGGTCACATAATCCAAACCAAATGCATCCAAGAAATCTTCATCCAAATCTGGTGGTAGCTTGTTAAGATCCATATTTGAGAACTACATGCAAAACAGTAAGTTACATGAAATTAGGCAACTTAGTTAAACCCATTAGGCAATAATACTATACAAAATTAGGCAAAAAAGGCCAGCAACTTATGCAGTTTTGTCCAGTATATGCTATCAGTTTTGTTCAGTACATGCTATCAGTTACATGAAATTTCATGATAGCTGTGGCTATCAGTTTTCCACAGTTACAGTGGGACTGAAGATTGACTAACACTGTACCTAAATGTTACAACCCGTAAAATGGACACATGAGAGTTTAGAAACTTAAGACTGTCCATGGTACAAAATGCATTTTATTCCATAGTCAGTTTTTGACTTAATGAATCTATTGTTCTTGTGTTTCCCTCTTTTTGCAGAAAGTTGAAATTTAAGGCTTGTTTGTCCTCAACTAAACATTTTTTTCCTCAGTTCTCACTACCATCTATGTGCTTATCATGTACTTCTATTTAATTGCAGGTGTGAGGCCATCAAGCATCAAAATGAACATGTGCAGCAGCTGACACAAGAAAGTTTAATGCATAGGAGTAACCATGTGCAGCAGCTGACACAAGAAAGTTTAATGCATGGGAGTAACCATGTGCAGCAACTAACAGAAGAAAGTTTAATGCATAGAAGTAACCATGTGCAGCAGCTAACACAAGAAGGTTTAATGCATCAAGATGTACATCTATAGGAGTGGTGCATACAACATATATCCATGTTAACTTGTAAGAACACCATCTGGTAGTAAGATGTGCAGTAAGAATATTAGTCATTTACATGTCCACGTTAGGATCAGATCTGCTAATGCAGTAGGAACTGCATTACTATTTGTGTTGCAAGAGAACTAGATTGTTTATGCAAAACAACTGAATTGCTTATGTAAAAGTAGTGAATTGCTTATCAGTTAGGATCAGATTTTCTTATGCAGTATGAATAGCAGTACTATCTGATATCAGAACTGAATTGCTTCTAGTAACAGATCTGGTTGGTTCTATTGTGTAATTCTTGTGTCTGAGAAGAAGTTGATTATCTGCGGCTGATAGTATCAAGTTCTTGCATGTTTGTACGTACCTGCTGTTGGGATGTATTGGCCTACCTTGTTTGGATGAATCTATTGGCCGCCCGATGGTGGCGGTGGCGTCCTAGACGCCTTTGTTTTGCGTGTTGAAAGGGAAAAGCAAAACAGGGCGAGGGGAAGATGGTTCCTGGCGAGGCCTGGTTTCTGGTGGGCCTTTTCCAAGAAGCGCGCTTGGCACTCACCTGCCGTAGCGCTTCGCGCGCGCGTGCACGGCCGCTGCTTCCCCACGACCAGGACAGAAACGAAAAGTGTATACTATACTATTGGATTTCCTAATATGGAGTGTGCGTGCGGCCTGCTTAATGCATGCATGGCCGTGCATTAGTTGTTTCCTTGTATATGCATCTTTCATATTTTTCTTCATCAGTGTTCCAAAATATAAGAAAAGTAACGAATACATTTTTGGAAAAAGTGATGCACTAAGTTACTACCTACCTCTTCTCAAAAAAATAGGTCGGTGTCCTATCCTAGATTCCATTTTATCTAGGAGGCCGCCTCAGTCGCTCACATGTTCTTGTCTTAGGACTTGGGCATTTCCCGCCCATGTGCACGCTATATTCTTTTAGTACTGCCGGTCGTAATTTAGGCCAGTTGCACGGTCAGCCGCTACGCACGTGCTCTCTCTTCTCTCATCTTTCTCCCATGGTCCTGTTCATCTCCTTCCTCTACATAGTCCCACTGCCTAGCCGCCGCAGTCTCACTGCCCTGCCGCCC